TAAAAAAAAAAAATAAATAAAAAAATAGTATTTTATATTACATAAAGGAGGACTAAAAAGCCTCTTAATAATTCAATTTGTATATATAATTTAAAAATTGATCTTAAATAAATTTTTTTCCAGTCTGTCTGAAAAAATTCTCTTAAATAAATGGGAAATTTTGGAAATGATTATTCCTTAATTTGAAAACTGAGAGAGAGAGAAAAAAAAGAAAAAGGACATAAAATCTTATTAAAACCCCCCTTGTTGGTAAAAAAATTAATTTTTCTATATTGTATTAAATTTGCCCCGTCATATATTTTTTTTGATTTTTTTTCACCCAGTATGTATAACACGATCGAAAAGTTGGAAATTCGAAAAAGAAAAAAAAACGTTAAAAGTTCATAAAAAAAAAAAAATTGGTTTTAAATGTGGGAGGGTTTAGGGAAAAGAAAAAATAAAATATTTTTTGAATATCGGGAGATTCTAATCCCTCTCCAAAAAGCCGATTTTTTTTTATACGGATGTCTTTCTCTTTCTAATATAAGGCTTCTTTATTCCACCAGCCTTGTTTATTCTTGCGGAACATTTTGAAACATGTCTTCTCATAATGCCGTTATCAGAGTCTTCTATAAATGAATAATAAAAGTTTTTAAAAAAAAAACGAAATAAAATACTAGACCAATGATCGATTTATATATAAATTACCAGCAGAATTATCTGATCCTTCATAGGGGAAAATGTCTAATTCATGAGTTTGAGAAACTTTATTGCCTACAAAATCAGACTCCAAGAGGTGAGGCAAATGCCGCCTCCTGGCATTTATGAACCAGTTGGAGATCTGCTGCAGCGATAAAGAAGTGGAAGAAGCCAAATGGTGCTTCTCTTCCTCGGTTGGGTATGGGTGTTTTTTGTGAGCGGCCAACCATTCTTTTAGAAGTGCTGTTGTAGCCTTTGGCAAATTTCCACGGCGTCTTTTAGGTTTCATGGTCAAATTTTCGAGCTGATCTTGTGGGTGATGGGAATAAATTGTGTTGGCGAGTTGTTGTATTGGTGGGGAAGGTGGCAATGTTTGCCTATGACAATTCATTAATTCTCGACTATAATATTCTAAAAAATAAATATATTTTATTAGAAAAGAGAACAAGGAGAGAAATAATAATAATAATAATAATAATAATTATAATTATAATTAATAATTATTTATAATAATAATAATTATTATTATTATTTATTAATTATTTTATTATATTATATAGATGAATTTGTTTACCTTTTGAATTAGATGAGATAATTAGCCAATTCTGACTGCCTTCACGGAGCATATTGTCGACTCGTTCCTTCACGGATTTGAGAAATTCCCCATGGTGTTCGTCATTTTGATTTATACGTACGCATTCTACTGAATTCGCATTGACATCCTTATATGTATGCTCATGAAAAAGAATAATCGGCGTAAAGGTCCTGAGCTATTAATTTAATTTTAAAAAAAGGGTTTAGATCAAACAAACAAACAAAAAAAAAAAACGATCAACAATCATAACATACACATTAGGGGTTAAATAATACAAAAAAAAAAAGGGGGAAGAAATTTACCTTATCCTGTTTTAAGGAGGGGAAAGAGGGATTAATTTTTGGTGAAATAATTCGACTCATCTTTATTTCGGAGTGATTGAGATTGAGTTTAAAATAAAGAATAGTGTTTGTACAAAATTGTTTTGCGACAACTTTACAGCTTTTTTTTTTTTGTTGGCGTTTGAAGTCGTAAAAAAAAAGACGTAAAAAATTTAAAAAAATTTGCGTTTTTTGAAGGAAAAGAGGGTAAAAAGAGTTTTTGTTAAAAGGGGAGATAGAGGTAAAGAACACACAAGACAATAAAAACCGGTTGAAAAAAATGTCTTAGAAAGGCGTGTCCGTAATTTTGGTAGAGTAGTTAAAGCGGAAAGTGTGTCGCTACAATTTTGTTTTTTATTTTTGTATTCCGTTTAAAAAAAAAAAAAATATAATTTTGATGTTCCCTTGAGGCCATTATATATGTAAAAAAAAAAAAATTTTATGTAAATTATATTATATTATATTAACTTTAAATTTTAAACGAAATCTTCAAATATATATATATATATATATATATATATATAATATATATAAAAAAAATTTTACACATATAATGTAATTACACAAAAGAGTACATCTTTTTCAGTTGGGTCAGCCAATTATAATTATTATATAATTTTTTTTTTTTTTTGTGTTATTTTTTTTTCTCTATACAATACTACAAATAAAAAAAAAATTTTTTTTTATTTTAAATTAAAATGAAAAATATGAAAAGAAATAAATATATATTATATTATAATTTAATAAAATAAATATTTTATAATAATATAAATAAAAAAAAAAACATGCACCCCAAAAAAATTTTACATATTATTAAACTGAACTGTGCGGTGACAGCTGTGACAACAAAAAACAAATTCACATTGAATAGGTGATACATAATCAATTCTAGCCGGAATTAGAATCAATTTTGGTAAGAATTAGATCTTGATTCACGTGATATAAATCAACATCTTTTATTTATTTTTTTTTTCAAACAATCTTCCATTATGCTTTTTACAATGGAAGATTTTTTATTTATATTTGTTTAAACGTCAAATATGTCAAAATCCCATAAAAGGAAAAGTGTTTAAAATCTTGAATAATCACAACCCCGCACATAATGTACCATAAAAGGGTGTTTTCATCCGGATGATAATTATAATAACTGGACCGTGAATGAATTGGAGAAAATTGGTTTAGTTTGAAAAAAAAATTTTTTTTTTTTTTTTTTTTTTTGGTATCAAGTTCATTGTATAAATTTTAATTTTTGGTTCCTTGCTGCGCCTTCCCTTCTTTTATGTTTTTTT